AAGGACAACCAAGAAGCGGATCGATCAATTATCAGTTAGCTACAATTAACTTAGTTTCAAAAGTGATGTTGATAGTTAGTACAAAAAACGTGGGTTTTTAGATGTATGTGTTGTAACTTTTGTTCTCTGAAACAACTTCATAGATCCTTGTTTCTTAAAGATTTCATAATTGTGTTACTGATATACTTTTTGATTATGTGATTGGTAAAAGGGAGGGCTTCCCGGTGGCGAGACTCTTAAAAACTGTAAACCTTTAGAGAACATGGTTAAGAAACAAGACTCTGATGGACGACTTAACGCAGCTATCTGTTGTGCTCCTGCGTTGGCTCTTGGTACTTGGGGTCTACTAGAAGGCAAAAAAGTAAGTCAGAAGTGATCTGTTCTTGTTTATTTATCTTCTTTTCAGTTCTTATCTAATGCTGGTTATTACATGGGGTTTCTTGCAGGCAACGGGTTACCCTGTTTTTATGGAGAAACTTGCAGCTACTTGTGCCACTGCTGTTGAGTCAAGAGTGCAAATAGATGGAAGAATAGTGACTAGTCGTGGACCAGGAACCACCATTGAATTCTCCGTCACGCTTATAGAGCAGTTGTTTGGGAAAGAGAAAGCTGATGAAGTCTCTAGTATCTTGGTATGTTTTTGTCTCTTGCCTCTTTTATCAACAGCTGTTGTACGTGTTAATGTCACATCCTCTTAGACTTACTAGTTCTCCTTTTGCAATCAGCTGCTTCGTCCCAACCCTGGTGAGGAGTTTACTTTTACTGAGCTTAACCAAACGACCTGGTCATTCGAAGATACACCACAGGTAAATGTTCAATGGCCTCTCCACTTGGTCCTTTAACATTTTGCCAAGACAGTCTTTGTTTGATCATTATACGGATTCCTAGGAACATGCTGTGTTGTAAAGCTTTTGTCTTTCTTGATCAATAGTCGTTTATGTGTCAGAAAGATAATGCTTTCCCTTTTCAGATTCTCGTACCCATTGCAGAGGAGTCAGAGGAAATTGAAGCCATTGCGCTTGTAGATATCCTGAGACGGGCAAAAGCAAACGTAGTGATTGCTGCAGTTGGTAACAGTTTGGAAGTTGTAGGATCTCGCAAAGCTAAGCTAGTAGCAGAAGTGCTTCTTGATGAAGTTGCAGAGAAGTCGTTCGATCTGATGGTGTTACCTGTGAGTAGTGGT